GAAAATGAATAGCTGAAAATAACAATTATATTAAGCAAAATAAACCTGAAATGAAATAATAGTGAAATAAACTACAAGTAAAAATATAACAATTGAATGAATAAAAACAAAATAAAAATAAAGGAATAAAAAAAGAAAATAAAAATAAAAAGGGTAGAGATTCCAAGTCACGTTAGTTCACGACGTTTCGATTGTTGGTATCTACAATCGTCTTCGGGTGATGACTGTAGACAATGGAAGTCCGAACTAGTGAAATCCTTTGATGTGTTGTGTGAATTTGTGAGTATCTTTTCGAAGAAACTTTATTTTTCGTTTGTTAGTTTCAATTCTAAACATTTCGTTTTCAATTTATATTTTTGATGGATACTATCTGACTCTGTTGCAAACTTCCTAAGCCAGTTCAACTGGCGTAGGCTGTCGGCCTCCGTATGTGCACTTTGGGATATTATAATTTTTTCTTTTTTTTTGAGTTGAACTGTTTTACATTTACTGTTTTTTTAGGATGGGATATTTTGAAGCAATAACTAAGTGTAACCAAAATGTGGAAAACATTTCATTAATATCATCACTTTCTGTAAGTTCTTCCCATTCCCTCAAATACAGTGTTATGAATTCATTTACTGTATTATCATTCATGAACCTTTTCTGGATACGGATGTTACCTGGCCTTGTTTTTGAAGTTTCCGATGTGAACCAGGTTACAACTTGCGCTAAATGGTTGGAAAACCCAGGGTCAACTAGTTTTGCTTCGTTGCTGCCCTCTTTATTTGTAATAATATAATCGAGAGTATCATGAATGATTCTGTCTAAAGTCTGATTGACAAGCCATTAACAAATTATTTTGATAAATTGATGGATGTAGCCGTTACTACGTGGTAGGAGATCATAATGAAAAGAGAAATGAAAATTTCTATGTTTTTTACCACTTTTTTTGTAACTAACATTACTGCAGTTTCGTCCTATATGGACATTCTCAAACTAATACAATAAACTAACAATGATTCATTACATTCGCCAATATATACCATTCAGGTACTTGACTGAGTACCTGAATTTACAGTTCACAATGCGGATGTGCCAATTTAAAAACCGAAGAGTAAATTAAATCAATTTGATCATTCAACAGGTTGTATACTTGTAAATTTCCAAGGATTCTAAATAATTGAGTTTGCAACCCTTCCTTGCATAGTGCAGAATTTCCGTATCGTTTAGATTCGGTAAACTTGTGGTTGCATGCCAAGGAATGGTTTGAAAATGTCGAATCATTTTTTCCTAGTCTGAAGGGCCTTTCATGTTCAGCATACCGTTTTTGGAAATTTCGTCTGCATTGTCCCACATAAACACTATTACACTCCGGACACTTAAGCTTATAAACTCCAGATTTTTCCAACTTGTCGACCTTATCTTTGGCATTGAAAAGGAAATGAGATAACCTGGCATGTGGTCTGAATGCTACTTCCACATTGTTTTTTCTGAAAAAACCTGCGATTATTTCTTCTGAAAAAACCTGCGATTATTTGTGTTCTTTTTCCAAAATATGTTAGCGTTACCCATTTCTTGATTTCTGGTTGTTTGACCTGACGATATATTAATCTGTAAGTGAATTTCCGGCTTTGTTTCCTGACTAACTTCTGGATAGTATCTGCGTTGAAACCATTATTATGACCTATCTGTGTAATTGTATCAATTTCCCTAGCTAGATTGTCTGCAGACAAAGGCAGTGAGAATGCTCTGTGCAACATTGAGTTGTCGGCTGCTAATTTATGACTGTCTGGATGGAAAGAATCGCTTGCGATGGTGATGTCTGTATAGCTAGGTTTTCTGAAAACATTGAACTCGAATTTATTCTGATTGTGTGTAATGGCCAGGTCTAAGAAATTTATCAGTTTCTCTATCTCTGTTTCAAGTGTGAACTGAATGTTGCTGTTGAGATTGTTCATGAATGTCACCTCTCAAAGCGAAGCAGTAACTCGTCTTGATAATGCCATCTGAGATGATCGCGAAACGTCTACTATCGAATAGTACACAACGGATGAACACCCGGAAAAACAACACATCATATATATATATATATATATATATATATCCTCACATAGCACAGGTATACTGTTTTATCCGTTATTGTATTGGCTTCATTTTATCAATTTAAATCAATTTATTTTATATACAAATATCTTTTTTGACTAGTCCGATAAGTTACATATTCTGTAGTTTTCACTACACAATGTGTATTGTTTTGTGATGAATAAATGATTCTGAGCCTAGAGCTACACCTTAGGTGTATTGGGTATATTTTCATTTACACAAGAGAGGTGAAAAATGTCCCTGAACTCGGTCTTATGACAATGTCACGCCATGGCCTTTGTGTATGCCGCTGACAAAGAACAAGATATCTTCATAGCACATCTAATATTCAAAGCAACAAATTGCTTCCGCAAAGTTGACACAAAAAGATGGAAATTATAAATGAATCAAATTGAATTGTTCCAATAGGATTTTGACCAAGGCCCTTCTATTATAATTACATAAATTTAGATCAGATCAAAAGTGATGAAGCGACAATCAATAATGAAAGGTAGAATGTAGAATAAATCTGCACGTAACAGAATTGGTTCCAGTTCAACAACCATTTTTACAGACATCATGGAGGCATAACAATAGGACCCATTGTCTTTTTTATAGCTAATTTAAAGTTCATTGTTCTTCTGTATGAATCAAGATAACCAAAGTGGTTGGATTGAATTTTTGAAAAACTGAATGTGAAAGTAGTCTTCAAAAATGTTTTTTCACTTCAACAAATGTAAGGTAACCTAAAGACAAGATGTTGGAAACCGAAAAGTCAGGAAGTATATGAAATAAGCTGTGAGGAGTATGACAAAAATATATCAGTCAGACTGAGACATCTCCGAGTTGGGAGACCAGAAATGTCTGGTGTCACTCAACACGCCTTGGAAAACAACCATAGAATAAATGAATACTGTCTAAAATTGTTGAAATCGATATATGACACTAGACATTTGGAGTATTTGAAGTCTGAAAATAGGAAAGTGTGGCATAAGAATGATGAACAGTGACAAAGGTCCCATTCCAAAGAGTCCATTACCTAGCATCATATGAATCACAGTGTTAAAAGTTAGCGGAAACTTTTCCGAGAACATTTTCCGCCAATCTCTACCCAAAGTTAAAGATCTGTGTCTAAAAGCGAAAGTGTCCCATATTATCTACAAATAGGCCTGCTATGGAGTTAGGAAATGATCTATGTCATCTCCTGAAGAAGTCAACTTAGTCAAGAAAAGTGGTGTCCGGAATCACACGTTAAAAGGTAAGACCTCGTTAGTCCTTAGCTCGCACAAGTTTCGACTTCTGAGGGTTGTCGTTTGTAGGGGTGCGACAGCTGGTTAACGGAAAAACAGATTTTAAGACATATTTTTAAAAACAGTGCTTGTTTTGGACAATGAATGAGTATGATAATTACAAAATATAATGTTGAATTATAATTTTGTTATCAAGTTGTTAAATTTGAATAAACATTCTACCAATTCATTATAAAGAACCTTCACATAGGGATAACGACAATACCAGTATAATTCGTTACAATTTCTACCTAAATCTATCAATCTACTTGAATTTACAAATATATCAATTCTTTTAGAGAGTAGACTTCAAAAATATTCAGTCATATTCCAAACAAATATTCCACTTTAGAACAAATACATGGATATCACGATCAAGTCAGTAATTGGGATGTCTCTGTTAAATGAAAATAAGTAGTTAAAATGAATAAGTATAAAATGAATCTTTTTGATATGAAAGAAAATATCTCCAATATCTGGTCGAAAGATTTGAATATAATGTTTTACTGGCATTTATGAGTGTCGATATTTTATATAAATTATTGGTTCGCTCGACTGGTCTGTACTGACCCACTCGGTCAGTACAGATCAGTCTTTTGAGGTTGGAACAAGGAACATTAAATTTGAGGCCTCAACGAAATGTGTGGATCAATTTTTCACAAAAGGCCAGAAGGCACTGGAACACTGATAAACTCTAAAGAGACATCGAGACTGGTCTGGGAATGCTGTGAAGAACTGAGGAAACTGGCAGATAGGAATAGACCGACTATATACAAGGTGCTAGGACACTCTGATATCGTAGGTAACGAAAAACCTGATGAGTGTACCTGTGTACCAGATACATTTCATCAACTCCATATATAAGCCCTGAACAAGCTGTAGGAGTAACAACCAATATAGCAAGTGGGTTTATAAAAAGCATAAGATTACGGGAAAAATATATCTGGGAACACACACTGTCCATTGAGAGAATACCTAATCAGAATAGGACTGTATAACAGATACGTTAGCTGCATGCATGCAACAAAGGGACAGATAAAGCTCTTCATATTTCATGCAAATGTGAGGCAGTGGACCACAGGAGGCAAATAATTTATGGTCAACTTAAATTATGACCTGAAGAAACTAGTACAGGAAACAAGATTGTTAGAATGGGTATCGAAAAAAAGATATGGGGTGGGCCCGAGAGAATACTACATCTAGTTGAACGAAGTTTATATATATATATATATATATATATATATACATACACGGGCAAGCCCAGTTCAGACTGGGGACATGTAAAGATATTTTGGAGAAAAGCTCGGGACTGATACCAAGTCCGTTGATAATTTTGAATAGAAGTATTAAATCTCTCTCTATGTTTTCTGCGAGTCTCAAGGGAAGGTATGTTCAAAATGCATTCCAATGCAGTATAGTCGTAGTATACACGCATCTTGAAGGCAATATATCGCAGGAAATTGTGCTGAACGGCCTCCAGTTTCTTTTTTTGTGTAACGTCGTGACGGGACCAAACTGTGGAACAATAATCGAGATGAGATCTAACCAGGGAAAAATAAAGAGATTTAATAGCAGTGATGTTGGTGAAATTACAAGTGGTTTTCTTTATAAAGCCAAGAATCTTCATAGATTTTTGAATTACAGCGGAAATGTGTGATTTATAGCTAAGTGTGGAGTCTAGGATCACACCTAGATCTTTGGTTTCATTAGTAGAATGTAAGGTCCGATTATTTATACTATATTCAAAATGATTGGGTGATGTGTTCGATGAAAGCGAAGAATTTGGCATTTGGATGCATTCAAACACATACCATTTTGCGAACACCAGTCGAATAGGCAATCTATATCGTTTTGTAGACACAATGTAATCAGCTTCATTTTTAAACATTTTGAAAAATTTTAAATCGTCGGCAAATAGCAAAGCTTCACTTTCATGGAAACAGCTGATTAGATCTATGATAAAAAGGTTAAACAACAGTGGCCCCAAATGCGAACCTTGTGGAACACCCGATGTAACTGCGATGGTATGAGAATAATAATGATTAACTCTAACAATTTGTGTTCTTTCCGTAAGACTGCTCTTGAGCCACTGCAATATTTGCCCATCAACACCATGTAAACAAAGTTTATGGGTCAATAGCTCATGATTAACTTTGTCAAAAGCTTTGGAGAAATCAGTGCACACAGAGTCAACTTGCAAACCTTTAAACAGAGCGTCAGACAGAAAATCAACGTAGGTAATTAGACCCAGTTTAACTGACTTTTTGGATGTAAATCCGAAATGGACGATAATTACACACGTCGGATTTTCGACCTGATTTATATATTGGGGTGACATATGAGGTTTTCCAATAGTCCGGGAATTTGCCAGATGATAGGGAATTATTAAATATATATTAAAGTGGTCGAGCTAAAATGAAGCTAAATGATTTAAGAAAATTTGGAGGAATTCCATCAGGACCGGGGCCTTTGTTGATATTAAATTCGGACAGTTTTTCGTAAATTTTAGAGATTTCAATATGATAATTGGACACATTAACCATGGATGTAATATTGGTATCATAAGGATGTAAAGATTGACTTGTATAGACGAAAGAAACTTGATTACAGCAAAAAGGTTGGCAATATCGATCACATTGGTAGCAGTATGATTACCAGAAGTCATTGTATTAGGTATAGTGTTATTTTCCATTTTGCTGCTTACAAAAAAGATTTAACATTAATAATTATAGAATGTTCAGTGCGTTGGATGTAATCTGTATAACATTGTCTGGATAAGGATTTACATCTTGATCTTGAATTGCTAAATGCTGCGTAGCTTTCTAGACACCTTGCGCTCTTGTAGATCTGGTGAGCTAATTTCTTTTCATAAAGTAGTTTCTTCAGCTAAGGGGAATGCCAGGATGGAAATCTCCTTTCATAGATTTTTTTTTGAGGAACGAAGCGATCAATGATAGAATAAAGAATGTCGTAAAATATTGAAATCATATCAGAAAGCTCCTTTCCATGTAATGCACTATCCCAATCGATTGCTTCAAGGGTCAAATTTATCGATGCATTGTCAGCGAGAAGGAAGTAATAGTAATATTCCTCATCAGATGAATATTCGTTTGAGATTTTGAGTGGCAAATAACATTCAAGTGGAGGATGATGCGAGTCTTCAGGAATTAAGATGTCGACAGCCTTTAGTACCGTAAGATCAACTGGTGATAAGATGAGATCAAGAGTAACTCCTCTATCATTGAATATTTCGTTGGATTGAAAAAGATTGAGAAAAGCACACATGTTGGACATCGTTTCAATAGAATCTATCTCAGATTGAGTGGATAGAACAAAGGAGAAGCAACAGAGCAATAATCCTCCACCTCCCATAATGCTGGTGGACGATTAAAATCGCCAATAAAAAAAAGTTTGCATTACTATATTGCTCATTCAAGGTAATTAGCTGATCAAAGTAAGATTGGTATAAAGTTGGTGAAGATTTAGGTGGGAAATATACCGTACCAATAATAGAATTGTTATTGAAGAGAACAAACAATTGTTCGATCGAAGGATCAGACTGAATTAGATAAACAGGAAATTATTTTTTGATAGCTATCAGTACACCACCACCCCTGCTGAAGATACTGGATTCACTAGAGCGGTCAGTTCTATATATGTTGTAGATGGAAAGCCCAAGTTCGGCGTCGGTGAATTCAGGTGTGAGCCAGGTTTCGGTGTAGATAATGATATTATAAGAACAATTGCTAAAATTTAAACTGAGGTCCGTCAGTTTAGTTCTAAGATCTCTAACATTTTGGTAATAAAGCGAAGGGCTGCTCGGTTTTAGTTTTTTTTAATGATTTTTGGTGTATTATTGAAGTATTTTATAGACAAATTCTGCTCACCAGCCTGTTGACGCACTATAAGTTCATTTTTCACCGAGTCAAGTTGCTTTTTTTGATAGAGTTTGATCAGGTTGGAAAAATATTTTGTTAGCATGGCCTAATTTATATTTGTTTCTTAGGATTTCATGGACATCGCAAGCAGAAGACATACAAACTTTAATTGGTCGATGACCATTTTTGTTCTTCTTCGCAAAATGTAGAATATTTGTGCCATTGACGTTTACCGCCCCTTCAGATAATATGGATTTTACTTGGTTAATATCTTCGGATGTAGTTGATAATTCCGGTAGATTAAAGATCAATAAATTCTTTGATCATTTTTGACATTCATGAAGCTCATTTATGATGTCATCAGTTGCTAGAAAGTAACTCTTTTCATCCTTTAATTTATGAGTTTCAGCTTTGAGTATGATAACTTCAGACTTTCAATTTCTCTTAAAATTTTGGGCACACTTTTGAATGCCTGACGGCAGTCATAGCAAAAGTAAAACAGGGTTCTCTTCTGAATTACAACAGCTCGAAGTTCGGAAGAACTCAAACCTGAGCATTTTTCCCTTGGATGTAAGATGATATGACAGCTATCGCAAGCTGTCGTCTTATCACCGATGTTTTAACCGCAGTTTGAGCACTTATTTATAACCATTTCAACAATTTCACTGGAGTATCAATGTGTGAGCGATATTAGCACTAATTCTCCCGGACTAATGAACAGATCAGTTAAGTTCGTATCAGATGGCACTTTTTGTAGGTTTTGAGTTTTATTTTTTGTAATCAGTGAACCAATTGATGGATAACTATTTTTCTATTTTTGCAGACAAAAATGAGATAATTTTATGGTTCACTGAACGTAAATATATTAGGCGAACGTCGCACAACAAAAAACGAAAATTTTTGTTGACTTTTAACAATTTTTACTTAGATAATTCGAGGAGCGATCAACAGCACTGTCAAGAGTTCAACACTTTCGAACAGTTCTCGAACAGAAATGATAAATAGATAAGATTTCTTTAAAGAGTAATGTACAGTATATACATTTTTTGAGTATATATGTATGAGGTATTTTTGTATATATTAATGTCTTGAATGGTTCAATTCAAGTGTATCTCTTTGTACTTGTGATGCACTGTTTGGAACCTTTGATGTAGTAATAAATAATACTGATCCCAACACCAAACTGTTATTTTTAACACCTCGAACTTGTGTATTGAAACACGTGTCGGGGTGTTGAAAATAACGGTTTGGTGTTGGGATAAAACTCCAGTAATATTTCCTATCTGTTTGTGTTTCATGTTATTATGAAAATAATACAATGAATAAACTGATTGATCTATATAGTATTCTTGCCTATGGTACATGTATTTTTTGGATATAGTTTTGTTCAACAAAAATATATTGTGGGGACCATCACAGAAGTGGAAGAACTTTAAGAGACTAAAGATTCAGTGCACCTCTATAACCTCTGTATATATTTATACAAAATGAAACAACAGTTCTTCAATAAGAAAAATCTTCACTAAACACAAGATCCAGGGAATTTCTTGTACCTAGAAGTACATAGAAGTAGCCTACATAAAAAAAAAAGTCATTTATATTTGGGGTGCAGAATTTTTAATCTTTGAATGCCTATCCAAACCTCACCAAGAATTATTATTTTTATTTCACTATGAAAGTTTTACTTATTGAGAAAAAACTTTATAATTAACTTTGTGGTACTCAGTTTTTATATCTGTGTTGATGATGACATTTTGATTATTTGTACTGACACATTTGTCATGTGTTTTAATTTATTTTAAGGTGGCAATAAAAATATTTTTTCTATTCATATATTTTCAATTCTAAGGATTCAAACCTTATAAATGTATCCAATTCAGTTGTCTTACCTTGATGGAGGTTCAACTTGGCTAAGAGTGCGCCCTTCTTGTATTTGTTGGAAATTCCTGCGTAGTGTATCACCACCAGGAGCTTGAACAATACTACTAGGCTCTCCTGCAAGTTGCGGTTCTTCTTCTTCATTTTCAGAACCTGAATATCTGTAGTCTTCCCTCTCTTTTTCTTGTTTTCTCTTTTTACATCGGTCGATGTGATCTTTCAGTTGAATTCTAACCTATAAAGTAAATGATTCAATTGGTTATTTTGGTCATAAAAAAACATATTGATCGATTGTTGAGGCAACACCACCTCTAGGTAAAAAATATTCTGTGTAAGATACATGAAAAACTTGTGAAAGTATTGTTCATGTGGGAAATGAAATTATGTTTCATTCACTCATAGATTGACAAATTTAAGCATTTGATTTTGAATTTCATTGCTATAACATACCTGTCTCTCAGTAGGTTGGTCCCTGATGAATGGATGTTTCAAAAGTTGTTCCGTATAAGGCCTCTCATGATAATCCTTGACTAGAACAGTGTCTATGAATCCGTGAAACTTCTTATTCCACTTTTTATTTTTCAGACGCGGAGGAGGATTCCTAGGTATGAGAAATAGTGCTCTCATTGGATGAAGTTCGCATAAAGGTGGTTGCGACTCTGCCATTTCCAAGGCCGTGATCCCCAAAGACCACAAATCACTGCGGTTGTCATAAGTTGCGTCGGGATTTTCATCACATGCTATGACTTCTGGAGCCATCCAATAAGGGGTACCGATAAAAGTATTTCTGCGGCCAATTGTTCGATCCAACTGGGCAGAAACCCCAAAATCGACTGAAATGAACCATATTCAATTTTTAGTGGAATAACAAAGGGGAATTTTAGATGAGAAAGAATACTTGTGGGGGAGTTGTGGTCCTTTGGTCTCTAAAGAAGCGGTATCTTAGTCTCTAAGAAAATCCTAAAACATATTTGGTAACTAGGTTGCAAATCAGCACGATTTGACAGATATTAAACGAAGAGGGTGGCACTGAGTAAGGAAAAAAATATTAAAGTGAAGTTGACCATATATACAGGTTCAAATCAGAACAAATTAAAATATGCTTTATTACCCAAGATCTGAACATCTTATTAACAAAGTCTAGTAAGGTAAAACGTGAATATGGGACAATTAACAAATATATACTATAAAATAATGCTTAGAGACAAGAGCAGAGTATATGGACAGAACAATATTAAGCCCAGCTGAACAGATACAAATATAAGTACATGAATATATGAATATTGAGTAAATGTAAATATATAATGCTACGTAATGAACATTGATAGCCATTTTGTGTTGATTTCAATAACTTGTTTACACAAAGCTACATGCCAATTACTCGATAGAGCCTTGGTAGAATTCGTCCACACTATAATAGGGCCTCCCAACAAGGAATTCTTTTACTTTCTTTCTGAATTTCTTTTCATTATATATTCGATATTATATTAGAGTGAATACCATATTGTATCGAAATTGAGTACAATTTGTGATAGTAGTATCTTACTCTCTTGCAACAACTCTCACTGCATGACATCCTGCTGCTAGTCTTTTACATAAGTAGTCGACATGGAAGTCAAATTTTAGATTTTCATCAATGAAAAGCAAAATTTTCAATTTTTACATTTTCCAAGTGTACTTCCCTTATGTTACATCTAAACATGACCACATTTGTTTTGTCGATGTTGAATGATAAAAGATAAGAATCACACCACCCTTTCACCCTTCTTATGTTGACGATGATTTGATCAAGTAAATTTGAATTGCTATGCCAGAGGATAATGGTGTCGTCAGCGAAACGTGAATTTACGACTTATGTCAACATGTAATAAGTCATTGACATAAATGAGAAACACAGGTCCCAACAGAACCAATATCTTCAAAAAATGTATCACATTAGATGTAGAGGGTCTGTATACACATATTACAAAAAAACTTAATTCGGCGCATCTCATGATTGAGAATCAAACTCTTTTTCCATAATTAAATGATCCAATTCGTCAACCTTGAAAAAATTAGAACTTAGATAATCTTTAACTAAAACAAGGGTGCCTCCACCAATTGAGTTAAAGCGATAATATTTTGAAATCAAGCTATAACTGAGGTAGAAATACTGGTTCTTCCGGTTTCAACCAATGTTCAGTTAAAAGAATTATATCCGGATATTCATATTCAGCCAACAATAACAATAGTTAATAACGATGAGATTGGAACCTTTGGTGTGAAAGTTGAATAACTTTTTTCGAGATCAATTGCCCTGACACCAAAATGATATTTTTGCACTAGACGCGCGTTTCGCCAACAAACCATTCTTCTCCTGAGGATGCTAACTTTGTTGGCGAAACGCGCGTCGAGTGCAAAAATATCAGTTTGGTGTCAGGGCAATTGATCTTGAAAAAAGTTATTCAATAACAATAGTTCATCAGTCTTGTGTCTTAATGATTGAATGTTCGAGAACAATACTCTGATGCTTGTTTCCTTGCTGCGCCTAAAAAAGACGGGTCCTCAGAAGTTTTCGCAGACCTCGTTTCTTGTACTGTTGGCATTGTGGAAGGACGAAACTGTTTTCCATATGAGCTTTTATTGCTTTCGATAGGAAGTACGTACCTTCATTATTGAAATTTGTTTCATAGCCCCTTCTGATAAAGTTTGATTTTCGTAAAATATTGTTGCATTCAAGGAAATGTCATTGGAGATAGTCTTGATGCAGTGCTTTAAATAAGGTTATATTATTATATTAGACACATTCATTCAAGTAGCTGTTGAGTTTGTAATTCTAGTCTGGTTCACATGTACTCGATTTAGCTCTTTTTGGTGACATTTTTCAGCCCTGTCCAAAAATTACGACTAAGGTGTCATTCGATTCGTATTTTTGCCTAGAAAGTTTAAGGAAAGGTCCGAAAACGCGCCGATAAAAATTACAAAAGTTATAAACAATTAAGT